GTATAATACGTGAGTGAAGTCAATCATCTCCTCGGTAGAAGGCATTGTTGACAAAGACAAAAAAAACAAAATAAAAAAATTGGGGAAAAACTGTTCAACGAACAGAAGCTAGGAGAAGGGTGTTAACTTCCTAAAAAGGCTACTTTTAAAGCCTTTTTCACTTAAGTTATTGTTTGTTTAAAAGCTCATTTTAGTCATTTTAGGATCATGTAGTTGCATATAGTTGCATTTGTGGGTGGTTGTGCTATTTTATTTCTTAATGGTGCTGTTTGAGGGAAAGGTGCAGTTTGTCTATGGTGTGCAGGGAATAACAAGAAAAAAATTCTTTGGGAAGTAATGTCACGGCATCACACGTTGCTAAAGCAGATTTAAATGCCTTGGCATTTCCGGCGCAGAAAAAGACAAAAAAAATATTTCTGCATCAGGACAGCTGGCACTGGACAGCTGTCTCTGCACGTGAATGACTGCTGTAACCGCCTGCCAGAGCTGCCAATGGACCACTGCCACTTGGAGGATAAGGTTCATGCACAACATGTGATTCTAGGGGTATGAGGGGTATTTTGCACCCAACAAACTCATCATTACCCCTAGATATTTTTTATTATATATGAGACCTCATGGGAGAGAGACAAACGGACGGACGGAGAGCACACGCATAGAGCAGAAAAATCACATTTTTATTTTCTCTTTTCCTTTCTTCTTCCTTGGGATATTCCTCCATTGATAAAGCTCCAAGGAGTGGCAAGCTAGGCACCGAAAGGAGCTAGCGAGCTAGGTTGTTCGTGGTGGCCGAGAGGAGACCTCCAGTGGCGCGTCGAATGCTTCTTCTCACTTCCCTTTTTACTGCTATTTTTATATTAATTTGCGGGTTGTTGGAACGAATATTTTCATGACTATGTGTTTGGATATTTCGAACCCCACCATGAACTAACTTATTTGGTGGTGGTTGGTTGAATGGTTGTTTGAACTTTATTTTCAATAGTATATTTAAGTTTATTTTGGTTCTTTATTTGCTTTGCTTATGAATGCTTCACCATCTAGGCTTGTAAGAGGCATGGAAATGTTCATCTCTTAGATGAAGGTTAGGTATTCGGAAGAATCCTAAGCTAAAAATACTTGTAAGTATTCGGAAGAAATACAAGATAAGATCCTCATAAGCAATGGGTTATGGTATTTTCAAGGGGCTTTGAACCGGCCTAGGAATATTATAACTTAATCCCTTAGATCTCGGAAGAGACTAGGATAGGATTTCAACGACTAAAAAGGGTGTCTTTATCAATAGGGTAGGCTGTCCAACATCGTTGAGTGAGAGCAGATGCCTTGGCATCCTATTCTGTTAGGTTCTTTTGAACACCTTAGGAAAGCCCTGTCGAGTAAGTAAAGACAAGATAGCTTAAATATACTTGAGAAATAAGTTTAGCAACCTTAGACCAATCCTTACCATTCATTTCATTGGAAGCTTGTCACGTGAGGATTATTTTCTTCTTATTTTATTTATCTTTTTATTTACTGTCTTTACCATTTCACATTGCCTTGACATTTCACCATACTCAATATTAAACATCCATCATTGCCACTGCATTTCCATTTGCTACACCATCACACCATCAATCCACATTCACCAGCATACACATTTCCATTACCGTGACATTTGTATATATCAAGACTAACTATACTTAGATAATTTAGTGCGTTGCTTTGGTTAGACTTTCGTAATTTCACCCAATCCCTGTGGAGACGATACTCACTCATCATTATATTACTTGAGCGATTGTGTATACTTGCATATTATTTGCGTATATTTTATAGTACTCACAACACGCTAACAAAGGGAAAAACCAAAAAAAAAAAGGCCTAAAGAACTAATGAATCAGAAGAAAAAGGATCGAAACTAAGTCTGATATCATGTTAAAACTAAAATACTTGGTATACCTCTATTCATTTATGCATTAAATCAATGTATACAAAATACATATATATAGTATTAATAACAAAGTAACTGTTTCTAACCAACCTCTAACTAATTCCTAACTATACAAGAATATCTAACTAACTTTTCTATGCTCAACAAAGCTGAGCTCGATCGAATTTCCCTTTCAACCGAGGATCTGATGTACGATCAAACACACCCTTCTGCTCATATGGGGTAACCCATTGCACTATGTCACATTTCACTCCACCCAGGAGTTTCTCCAATGGTTTCTTCGCAGTAATGATCTCTAGAAGTAAAATGCCGAAGCTATAAACGTCACAGCGCTCAACAAAGCTGAGCTCGATCGAATTTCCCTTTCAACCGAGGATCTGATGTACGATCAAACACACCCTTCTGCTCATATGGGGTAACCCATTGCACTATGTCACATTTCACTCCACCCAGGAGTTTCTCCAATGGTTTCTTCGCAGTAATGATCTCTAGAAGTAAAATGCCGAAGCTATAAACGTCACAGCTCTCGGAAACTTTTCCCACATCACGTAATCGGGCGCCAAATATGCCAGAGTGCCCTTCACCCTAGTTGCCATATGCGTAACGCCGTCCGGTATAAGTTTTGCAAAGCCAAAATCTGCAACTTTTGCTTGGAAGTTTGCATCTAAAAGAACATTGCTGGCCTTTATATCTCTGTGTATTATGTGAGGATTGGCCTCTTGATGCAAGTACCTTAAGGTCAGATTTTAAACACATAAAGTATACATTATGTTGCTAGTTCTTGAACTACTCTGTCATTGATTGCAGCATATGTGAGCATAAGAAAGTTTGGTTGATGTATACTTACGCAAGACCTTCGGCTGAACCAAGGGCAATGCTCATTCTACGAGGCCAATCGAGCAAACAATGAGCGGCGAGTTGGCCGTGCAGATGAGTGATTAAACTATGGTTAGGCATTGTAATCGTAGACTATTAATCTTTGACCCCCACTCGCATAAAAACCTCTCGATCCCAACAGATTCTTATGCCTCACCCTCCCAAGAATCTCTACTTCCACAGTGAACTCCATCTCGGCCTTCGCATTCATCGCCTTTAGTCGCTTTACTGCAACCTGCAACACCATGTTTGCTACATGTAATTAACAACAAAAGGCAAGCAATTACTAGAGAGATTTCAAGATAAAGGACATATGATTAATTGCCTCGATGCCTTTACTCGTACAACCCCAATATACGGTGCGGAATCCGCCTTCACCGATCTTATTATCGTCGTGGAAGTTGTGTGTTGCGTGTCAAATCTCCTTGAGAGTGTATAGTTCCCAAGGGTAATCCCTGCTCTTATTCTCCCTGTAACCAACACAAAGATTCAACAAGCAATACCAAATTAAATGCTCTTTATCAAAACTCTCTTCATAGCCTACCTGATCTGATCGTTTTCATTACAGGTGCACCAACACCATAAACGTCTCCAGTTCATAGTTTATGTTCCGGAAACAAATTATGGATCGCAGATTTCTGTAGAAGAAAAAAAAGTTTCTTGCACTGAAGAGAAACTGTAGCCTAGGAAGCCAATGAACTTTGCAGTATATTGGGGTGTGAAAATTAATAATTTTTACTGGTACTGCATTAAATATTAATTATAACATATTTTTTATTAAAAATTAATTAACTAGCTCGGTTTTAATTAGTGTATTTGGACAATTTCTTCTGTCTAGCTTGGATTTTGTTGACCATGTCTTAATGCAGTTCAATGAATGATGTTTTAGTCGTATGATCTTCAACTTTATGTTTTAACTAGTTAGAAAAAAGGCCACACATCAAAGCCAAGTAGCCCTAATAAATCCATTCAGAAGTGGAATCACTCGACGCAAAATGTACACCAATTAGTATATTTTGGGATTAAATATACATTTAATATTTAAATTAAACATTTCTTAAATTAGTATCTAAAGAATTTTTGCTTCTTAATAAATACATGAACCGATAACTTTTTTTTTCAAATTGTTACTTCAATTTTAATTTCATCCACTATTATAGTATTTTTAATAATTTTATATATTTAAAGTTTGATTGATTTTGATGCCACTGGTCAACTAGATGTTAATTCAATTGGAAAATATGAGACTGGTTTTTTTTTACTAAATCCGCTAGTTTTATTAAAAAGAGGAAATATTCAGAATTTACAATGAATGCTACAACCATAAGCGTAAAATAAACACATAATTAGGATATGTTCTTATAAACGTTGACATAAAAACTAGCCACTTAAGGTCACATAATGACCATACAAGGAAAAGGATAAAAACATAACCAAAAAACTCGAATAAAAAATAGATACAAATAGATCTGACTGCATCGATAAAAAAACCACAAAAGGGGATCAAACTACTAAAAATCATCGACAAATCGCAAATCAGAGTCGCGTGACGTGAAAAAACTATCCACAAACGCAAACTACATATCCAAATCCAATCTGAAAGTATAAATCAGGGAAGATCGGTATGATAACAAATAAGCGACATCTTGATCAATCGTAGTGATATCAAATATAACCCTAAAAACAAAGATACACGAAAATAACGACTAAAAAATTATACTTTTAAAAAAATTTAAAAAAAAATTAAAAAATTTGTTATCATATATTTTAAAAAAATTGATTTTATTTTTATTTTTTAGAATTATTACTTAAAAATATTCAAAAAAATATATATCAAAATAAAATTTTAGTTGTAATTGAGGGGTCAAATAAAATATTTTTTTTTATTCATTTAACATGCTACGTTACTCCCTTAACAACATTTAATGTTCAATATCCATTTTTTTAATAAAATCTAAAGTATAATGTCTATTTTGTGACTTTTGAAAATCTAATGACAAATAAAATTATTTTAACAAAATTTAATGATTATTTATAAATTTTATTCTATTAAAATATTAATGATGTATATCGATCGGTGTATATCGTTAATGATAAATATCAGTAAATGTCATATATTATAAACTAATCCTTGATTTAGACTCTGAGTTATAGTAAGTTGGACGCAGTAGGACTTAATAAAATCAAGTCCAAAAAATCAATCAAATTAACTCGATTGAAATAAATGCATTCTTCGTAATGATAAGATTAAATATCCCCTTTGGACCTTACAGAAAACATCTTGTTTATTTGGAATCACAACTGACTGAAAAATATAATCTGATTCGTTCCCATTTAAAATGGTGCTAACCACGTGATAACAACGGGGCTTCTTACTTTGTGCACTCCATCCTTCCACACCAGCCCTCCAAACTCGGGCATTGTTTGCCGGGATCTTCTTGTGAAACTGATCTTGTAAGATAGTTTCTGGTTTCTTCCGGTGAATTTCAGAGATTTCGGCTCGACGTCGACTGTCACGCCTTTAAATTGCGAAACTACAACATGGTAATTTGAATTAGGAGGGCCAACATTTGTGGCAGTTCTATGGAGGGTCAATGTTGAAATGGCTGTATCTTCTGGGAAGACCACTGAGATTGCTGGGTAGTTCAAGTCTCCTGGACTGGCAACCTTGTTGTGATGACAAGACATGTTGGAATGCTTGCTAAAGGATTTTAGCTCCATTGCTGTCAATTTTTGTGTGCAAAGGAATTCGAAGTAATCCTGGGCTGATATGTGGTAAACCAAACCTGGGTCTAGAGCATTCAATGGGTTGATGTGACCAGCACCGTGATCGAATGGAGTCGAAGCCGATGCCGTCGAAGCATCTTCGAGAGGATTATGGATGTTATCGTGAACATAGGCGGTTGTCATTAGAGCAGATTTGATTGCAGCAGGGCTCCAATCTGGATGTCTGGCCTTGAGCAAGGCAGCAATGCCACTCACATGAGGGCATGACATTGATGTTCCGGACAATATATTGAACCTCACTCTCCTATGATCTGTAGGAAGACTCGATGGACCTAATTCTCCGGTCCAGGCTGCAAGGATATTCACCCCTGGTGCAATGACATCAGGTTTCAGAATTTCAAGTGTGAGGAAATTTGGTCCTCTTGATGAAAACGCTGCCACCACCGGTGACGGCCTAACACCTAATCTGGTACCAATAAATGCTAGAGTTGCGGTCGCTTTTCGATTCGTTAAAGCGTAATGTTTGATAGCTTTCCCTTCCATCTCTCCCACTGCAACTGCTGGAAGGAGGTGACAGTCTGCAACAAGCTCTTCCCCATTTGAAGCGGTGTTTGTCAATATCATTCCTACTCCTCCAGCATCTTTCACTACTTCACCCTTCTGCACTCGAGGACTTATTCCTCGGTCGCATATCACGATTTTCCCAGAAACAATATGTGGATCCAGTGTTCCCTCTAGACATAATGAACTTGGGTCAGGGCTGCTTGAATTACTCCCCATATAAACAAGAGGGTATTGCTTGTTTGCCTGGAGAAACCTCCGGCCTTTGTAGAGTGAAACTCCGGCTATGGTTCTCCCGATTCCTAGCTTAATAGTAGCAGGAAAGTCTCTATCCATGGTGCTAGCACCGACTGTGGTGATCCATGGTGATACATTTGTGAGGCTGACAGGATCTGGTCCTCCATTGCCAGCTGAACAAGAAACAAAAACACCCATCTCCATTGCTCCAAAAGTTGCTATCGCCAAGCTGTCATGAGAGTAAGATGATGCCCCACCACCCAAAGATATTGACAAAATATTTACTCCATCGGCCACCGCTCTATCAACTGCCGACAGAATATCTGAGCTGAAACACCCACCAGTCCAGCAAACCTTGTAAGCTGCAATTCTTGCACCAGGCGCCATTCCTCTAGCTATTCCATAGGCGTAACCAAGAAGATTCGCGCCGCGTACCGGAGAGCCGGCAACAGTGGCTGCCGTGTGAGTACCATGCCCATCTTGATCTCGAGGCGATTTATATTCAGTTTTCTCGTTGATTTTCCCAGCGGCAGCTTCATATCCCCTGTAGAACACTCTTGCACCCACAATTTTCCTATTGCAGTGATGCTTTTGAAAGCCTCGTCCAGTTTCACAAGCTCCTTTCCAGTGAGAAGGAACCGTAGTCATCCCTGTATCATTAAAGCTTGCACTTTCTGGCCAAATTCCAGTATCAAGTACTCCAACTATGACATCATGATCTGCATGTTTTTGAGACCAGATGCTGGTACTTTCTTCTGCTTCTAATCCAAGGAACATGGGACTCCTTGTGGTGTGCAGTTGATACTTTGTCTCGGGAAGTATAGCGATCACACCATCTTCTTCTTTCAGCCTCTCAGCTTCTTCTTCAGTTAACTGAGCAGCAACTCCATGAAAAGCATTCTGGTAGCTATAAATGATCCTATCTTCATCACCTTCACTCTGGGTCTTGGACATCACTGACTTCAATTTCGACGAGTACCATTCCAGGGGAGTGGCGAATGATGCTGGCATTGCAGACTTGTGCATTTGGACGATGTAGGTCTTCTTCATTAATGAGTTGCTTTCCGAGACGACGAAAGCGAAAGACAGGCAGCCCGTTAGAATGAGAAACAGACATTTTACTGGGTTTTCAGCCATAGCAAGCCAAGCAGAGAAGACAAAAGTTTGGTTTTTAGGGATGCAGAAGAAAAATGTGAAGGCGAGTGGAGCTGTGGAGGTGATGTTATTGAGACTAATTAAGGTGGTTGGTGAATCTTGAATGCCTGTTGGGTGGGTAAAAGTTAATCTGGTTTCAATGGTCCTTGTTTGCAGAAGCTACCTGTTTCTCACTGTTGTTAATGGCTTCTTTCTTCCTATGGTTACGTATAAACTAAGAGCACGAACGAAATCACTTCAATAATTAAAAGAATAATTATTATTTTTAAAGGTTTTAAGTTTAAAAATATAGTCTGTAAAAATATTTAAACGTACTATAAAAATATTTAAATATTCCTTTTCAAATAATTAAAAATCTATTACAATAAAAAATTACATATAACATATAATGAAAGCTCACACATTGCAACGAGTGATCCCATGAACGTGTCTGGTTTTCATTGGATGAAACCAGAGGTGAAAGATGACAGCATGAAAGCTTTTATAAGCATAGATGGAGTTAACGGTCTCTATAAATTTTTACATGCAATTCTTTTAATGCTGCCGTTGTTGTTTTGGTATGCTAAGTTTGTGTCCCCACGATCACATGATGATTCATGTCAAGCACCTATGCGTTGTCAGAGTAAAAAAAAATGTTTTATTACATTCCTTCTCTCTTTCTCGACTAATTCAAATCAACATACGTTATATACCTAATTGTGGTGGATAGATCTCCTAACAAATATTTTTTATATATACAGGACCTCAAACTCGAGAACATTCATTCTCTCATTTAAAAAATTCCAAGAATTTCCCTTTTTATTTCCCCACCATCTTCTTGGTCTTTAATTTTTTGTTTTTAGGTCGGATTATGGTTGATATTTAAATAAAAAAACTAGTCAGATTTGAATGAAAACTGAGGTGGATGACGACTGATTTTTCGCAATAATGCAGTTTAAAAAAATTGTTCGAATATGACACTCTCGAAATTATTTCTTCAAATAGAGTGATTGTTACGGTACATCCCAAAAACACATTGTAGTCCATACGACTCTATTATAAATTTGGGGGAGACGCGTGGAGTGCAATGCATCTCCAATATTTGTTTTTATATTTATTGTTTGTTTAAGTTTTAATCATTATTGCAAAAAATTGGAAAGGCTAAAATTTGGAGAGAGACGCATTGTGATACAGGGGAGGGGGTCGCATGGTGTTCCATGCAACTTGGGGAGACTCGAGGAGTCCAGTGCGACTTTGATGTGTACTGTAACATTCACGCCATTCTAACAAATAATCTCTAGGATGCCCTATTCGAACAATTTTTTCGACTGCATTATTACAAAAAAATCATCGGAGAGAAACCATGAATTTAATGATGGTGATTAATGTTGCAATACAAATAATGGAGATGGCATTGGAATAGGAATATTTAAGTGGGATGGTGTATAATTTCAAACTTTATGTCCTCCGGTTAGTATTTGAGTAAACTACATGAATGATTACTTAATTATTATTTCTTTTTATTTTTACAATCAATTTTGAAATATCATTAATACGATCTATTAATTATTTAAATGTATCAATCAATTCACTTACCATTAACATGTAACGGAAGAGGTGATGTGGTTATTAATAAATTAGTATAATTATACATTTGGTCCTCAACTTTTTTATATTTTAATACTAATTTAAATTTTTAATTAAATTAAAATTATGATTAAATTGATAAAAATATATAAATATTGAAATTCAAATATATAATCATACTAATTTTTTATCAGACATGTCACCTCCTCTATTAAATATCAATTGCAAGTGGCTTAATAAACTCGCTTAAATAATTAATTTCATTCCATAAATTGTTTACTTTATTTCTTTTTCTTTTTTTATCCAGGGATTATGATTGTATTTTATATAATTTAGTATTATCAAGAAAATATTTCATTTCACGTAGTTTTATGTTGATTTAAAAGTTCATTTGTCTCTTAATATATTTTTTCATCGAATTGTATTTTAAATCTTTTTAAGATATTTTATTTTTTAAATTAGAAAAGTTATTTTGTCATCTTATTTTTTCATATCGCTTAAAAATATTGAATTAATCAGTGTGTTTAGTGATAATTTTGACCGACTGATGTCAATAAAAAAGATAAATGATACATTAAGTTATTTAGATTTTATTTTTTTCAATTTAATCTCCAAAAAGTTTATTTCAACCGAAATTCACCTCTATGTATTTTTAATTTTTATAATTTAGTCTATTTTTTATTTAATGTATTGGTTTCATTCAATAAATATTTTCAGTTTTTCTCTAAGTCAAATTTTCTCTTTCACACTTTCCAATTTAAATCTCCTCGTGTTTGAAAGATTATAAAGAGGAGAAAGGGATCTCTTTCTCGTTGAATGTCCTCTGTCACATGATTCGACGGACGAAGATAACACCTGCGAGACCAGTGGTTCCATACCACTTTTTCGGCGAGAGGGGCTCTGTTGCTTCTATCGTAAATGAAAAATATGAACAAGATTTTTTATTTGTTTAATTAAACAAATGAACACGAATAAATAATTCGTTCATTCATTTACGTTCGTGAACATTCGATAATACATTTTTTTATTCTCGGTAATTTATTCATTTTGTTCATTTGTTCAATTAAATTTATATTTATTTTCATTTATCTATATTCTTTTAAGAATTTTTGTTTGATTTACCGTAAAGTTACAATTTATGTTCATTCGTTTATGTTTATTTATCATTTTAACGAAAGAACATGAACAAGCTACATTCCTCAATAAACGAACACAAAAAATTATATTTTTTATTTATTCATGTTCGCTCATTTGTTCGGTTAAAGTTTTATGGTTTCACTGTTCGAGACTTTTAGGTCATTTGGACTAATTGATATGTTATTGGGCTTCAGTTTAGGTTGACCTAAGATGTTATTTTATTGGGCTTAAGGTAAAAGGGCTAGATCCCATTGAAAATGGACTGTTATTTATTTTTATAAATATATATTTTTGGTTTAAGCTTCTTTATTCATTTGAGCTTGGAGTAAAAAGGCCATTTATTACGCATTTAAAACTATAAAAGTGTTTATTAGGCCTAAAATTCTTTTAACTTTTGGATTTTGTAATTAATTCAACACTTAGATATGAACTTGAATAAATTAATGAAAAATATAGAAATAAATTAAATTATTAGGTAAAAGTAGGTAAAGCCTAAACAACAAGCATTTTTTTCCTCTCAGTTTCAAGGTTTCGTCTTGATCAATTCAGATCAACTCCTATCGCACATTTGATTTTGGTGGATGAGTCACCTAATATAGATTTAACTACATAAACGATATCAAATTACTTATCATTTAAACCGACCCGTTGGTTAAACAACAAGCTTTTTAATTCTATATCTAATACATCATCAAATATTGTAAGATTACACCATCACAAACTAGTGTTAAAAAAAATTGCAAGCTACATCAACATATACTACTTAAAATATATAGTATTATAATCAACAACCGTTGGTTTAATGGGATGAGACATTAAATCCCTTAAAATCAAAAATTTGAATATTGATATTTACGAATGACACAAACTAAATGCGAATGATCGTCCCTATGATGAACTTTTGCAAAACTCGATCCGGAATATACATTAAATTCCATGCAATATTCTGAGATTTTACTCGCTTCATTTCAGTTTATATTATACCATATACAGATAAAGGGTTAGAATTGAAGAAAAAAAAAACCCTGAAACTCAGTTCAATCTAAAACAAAAAAGCTCATCATATAGAAATTGCAGAAACCAAAACTAAATCTGAAGCCGAAGAAATTAAAAGATTAAGCCTATTTGTTTCCTAATTATCTGCAACTTTGTGAATTCAGCAACCCATTAAAGTTGCTGCACTCGAATAAGGCCTTTGCTGTCATTTCCCTTTCGAATCTCCAGATGTAATTCAACCCCACTAGCAGCTCAGTAATGGCTGCTTCAGTCTTTTCTTTGTCTGCAAAGAAGAGGCTTTGCAAACGAAGAACATTCATTTTGGGCAACAAATTCTGATGCTCAAAGCTCCTTTCACTTTGCCATTTGATCATGTTGTGTGCCAATGGCGATAGCCAACCCAGGATGTTCCTCAAAGCTGCTCTCCATTCTCCGGCAAGCACCGGATCACTCGCCGAGAACCCTACTCCTTTTAGGCTACCCCTGAGAGACGATCGAATACTGCTAGGCAGCATCGAATAAAGATCGTCTCTCGCATCGGCGCCTACGAAATGCAGCGACTTGATCATCTTCTCCATTACGATGATCAAATTCGCATAGTGCAAAGCCAGCCCTGAGCCACCTAACGTACTTGGATGAGGTGTAATAAGCTTCGAGTTTGACTCGAAAAACCTGACTGCCATATTCTTCTTTTCTTCTTGCTTTGAACAACTCCTCAATGGGCCTGATACGAAGCTGAAAGCATCGGCGTTTTCCGTCGGATGTACGGTTGCTGAAGCCGATAGGGTTCGAGATAAGGAAGGGGGATACTCGAAGCCAAAAACAAGCTTCATTCTTCCCAAAACAGTGAAAGCCGTTGTAACAAGCATGGGAACAACCTTGTCAAAGCTTTTGTTCCAGAAAGATCTGTCTTTTAAATACTTAACCTCTTGCTTTTGCCAGAAAAGCTTTTGCTGTAGATCAACAATCATTTGCCCTTTGGTTGAAGATTCATATTCTTTACACTGAAATGACTTTCTCAAACCGTTCTCAATTGTAGATAAATCCTCCATTTCTTTGTACAAAGCTACCGTAATGGTCACGTACTTGTCCATCTTCGTCTTTTTAGCTTCCATCTCTTTGGAACTCAGAACCCAGCCATGGCTATCGTGACCCGAGTTGGCGAACTCATCGAACCACCGATCGAAACACCGGAGATTCGGATCCTGGCACTTTTTGCTCATCCTGGAAATAGATTTTGCTACCAGCCTGAGACTTTCAGCCATTTCAGCACACGCCAGTCCCAACATGAAAGACTCATCGTTGGATACAATCTTGCGGACTCCTTCGAGAGATATGGATTCATCACGGAGACAAATCATGTTCTTGTCCGAGAGACAATTCCAAAGATGCAGAAGCTTCGACATAAGACCGGCAATTTCAAAGCATAAAACTCCAACGTTTGATTTATTATTATGCTTTGAAGCTTTGGAATTGGGTATCGAAGATCTTGCAGTATCCAGGGTGTTGGATATGGTTTCCTTGACTTTTATCAACCAAGTTTCAAGAGCCATGGATTTCGTTTCTGGAAAAAGAATCAAGAAAGAAGAAGACGAAACAGATGAAAAAGAAAGGGTGAGTTAGTGGAGTGGAATAAAAATTCTTTTAAAAAGAGAAATGATTGAAGAGATAAGAGGATAATGGCGAATGAGAGAAAGCTTGAGAATTTTGCAGATTTGAAGGTCGTGGGACGTTGAGACCATTGCCCATTATAGAAATAGCAAAGCCATTACAAACAGTTGGTAAAAGTACAGTAAAACAAACTATTTTGTGGTTCAATAATTTAGCTTAATCAAGTCAAATGCCAGTTGAGTAAAACAAACTTTTTTTTTTTTTGTAAACCAAGCCCATATTTGTTTCTCCAAATTTAGATTTATAATTACTACATTGACTAAAACTATAGTATCAATCAACTCCACAAAGCTACAACGTTATTTTACTAAAATTTATTATGGAAAATGATTAAAGATATTGTCAAAATTTTTATTTGCAATTTGCTCGGTCACTTTTTCGAGAACCAAACAAAAAGTTTGTTTTCCTTTCGAACAAAAATGTCGTTAAGGCATAAGGGTTATACACGGATAAACCTTAATAACACTTATATGTGGAGCTCCCAAATTTTTAGGTCATGTGACATATGACATGTTACACTTGTATATGGACGGATCTGATCAACTAATTAGAGTTAATTTTGATTTTAATAATTTCTAAATTTTAGTATTTATTTATTAGTAAGATGTAGAGTTGGTGTTGTATTTTATACTATAATCATGTTTTGGATTTTATAAAAAAAATCTTAGTAATAAAAATGAGTGTTGTTTTCTTTAGATATTTGGATTTTGAACAGTTGCATCTATAGGACGTGTATGCATTATCATGGTTAAAAGAGATTATAAATAGATATTATCTTATAATCCCTAATATATTAAAAATAACTATAAATAATAACTGAGGATTAATTCATTTAAACTTTTATTTGTTAAAATTATATATTGAATTTTATAAGTTTATCAATTTTTTTTGTTTTTAGTTGCTTTCTTTTGATTTATGCCCAATCAAAATATTTTCTTTTTGCACGAACCAACTTATTTCAGTGGTCAATGGAATCGATGTTTTTAGAGGTCACGGGTTCGGGCACTAATGATTGCAAGGGTGATTGAACGTTCATTGTCAAATGGTTAAGAGTACTTAGAATAGATACTACTTTATAATCACATTAACTTACTAAAACAATTCTTTTTGAATAGATTGAAATATGATTGTACATAAATTCAATAGGTTAGTCCCTTTTTTCATTTCGTGGTTTAATAATGAAAATAATTGAAAGTAATTAATTGGTCGATAGAGAATATGCTGGTGATTGCACAAATGAAGTTGATAATGAGAGAGTTTGACTATTTGGAATCATTTTCATTTATAGCTGATGATGATACGGTGCAGTGTGTAAACACATGGTATGGTAGTCGTTTATGGTTAGGCCATATTCCTCTATTCCCTATGAAATCATATGCATAACAAAAATGAGTTTCCTCTGATTTGGCCATATCCCCCTATTCCCTATGAAATCATATCCATAACAAAAATGCATAAGGACAAATATACACTCCAAACGGTTGTATAAACAATCACTTTGTTTTTTATTTTGTTTTTTTGACAGTATTTTGCTCTTAAATATTTTAATTTTGATCAAAATAAACCTTGTTAGATAGAAATTGTTGGTTGATTAACAATCAACTCATATTGTTGATGCGAGATCACATCATCAATTAGACATATAAGAAAATGTCATATCAGTAACATGAGTTGATTGTTAGTGAACTAACGATTTTCATCCAATAGGGTTTGTTTTAACCTAAAATTAAAATGTTAAAAGGTAAAATACTCCAAAAAAGAATATATGACAAAATAATTATTTATACAAACGCTAAGTTTATTTTACCATTTTTTATATAAAAAATAGTGACCTAATTGAATATATATGTGTAAAGGTATTATAGAATTATTCCTAAATACATAGATGACAATTATATTATTATTTCAAGTCGGATCGAGTCAGAAGATTTTTATTCTTAACCCGAACTGGACTCTATATTTCACAAAACCCAACTCAATATAAATTTCAATTTTAAAAACAATTAAAAAGCTTATAAAATCGAATCAGATCGAAATTCGATTAAAATAAAATATCCATCCTATTATTATAATGCTTCTTATATATTATTGCTGTTTCAATCCAATGAACATGCAGCTTTGTTGAAGGAAGCTGTCTGTGTGTGTGCTGAAATGTTAACATTTGCCACAGCATTGGCATTAGATCCAATCAAATTTAATCAAAGCTCTCACTCTCTACTATATTTTATTTTTAAAAGTATATAATAATAATAATAACAATAATAATAATAATAATAATAATAATAATTAATAGAGTTATCCATGCACATCTTTGGTTTTCTTAAAATGGATTTCGCCCTGGCTATTTATTTATAATTTTAAAATGGTTTAAACCGAGAGACTTTGATTATATATAATAAGAAATATATATATATATATATATATATATAATAAAAAAGATGGCAAGAACACGTATTTTTGGATGAATACAATGAACCGAATACTGTGGCCTTCAAAATCTACCAACACGTCTTTTTGTAATTTACTACACGTTTAGTATTTTAACTATTATATATTTTTTATTACAAGTTTAGTATTTTAACTATTATTTTTATTTTATTTTAATTATAATATTTTAAAATTATACTTAATGGTTTTTTGATCATTCGTCGTTAAAAAATTAACATAATTACTGACGTGTTGCCATAAGATAATATCATGTCATCATTGAAGAAAATTTAAAAAAAATAGTATGTCAGCAGTTCTATTAATTTTTTAATAGCGGATGGTCAAAATGAAATAAAAACATAATATTAAGTATACTTTTGAGAAAAAGATAGATGACCAAAACAAAATAAAAATGATAGTTGGGATACTAGACGTGTAGTTTATCCTAATTTATTGGGTTTAATTCTAGCTTGTTGTCTATATATACAATACCAAGTCATAAATGACTTGTACTGTATGTTTTAAATCTAAATGTACATTATCAAACTTGAAGCTTTCTTCTTTTTCTTTACTATTATTTTGTATTTTTCTCATTATTGGTTAAAGCCATAAGGTCTTAAAACCTGTGAAAGGTAGGGATGGGCACGAAACTCAATCGGACAAGCTCTAACTCGATCAGATCTAATCGGATCATATTTTAAAAAAATAGATTTAGGTCGGGTTAGAGATGAATTTTATCTTAAAAATCCGACCTATACCCAGGCGTAAGCATGAAGAAGCATAAGTGGGAAATAGGAGAGGCTGGGTGGCTCCTGGGCAGCCACGCGATGCTACTGTGATGCAAAATTCCACTAATTATGAAATGTGATGCTATCATTATACTTTGACATATACCTACCTATATATTTAGTCTTCCACTTTCTTATTATGTACGTGGTGAAGATCCATTGCTGGTGAGTGGTGGGAAAGCCACTGTTGTAAAAAACCGGAAATTTGAAAAAAAATATAATTGTAATTTGAGGTTTTAATTAAGTAATTTGGTGAAATTTGGGGACTAAATTATAATATTTTAAAAATTTGTAGTTTATTTTAGAGTTAAAGAAAATTCAGAGACCAAACCCTGAATTTACCCAAGAAAGATTGGTGAAGTTTGGTATTAAAATCATAAACCAATTGCTCCTAAATTGAGTCTAAACTCCCTTCCCCAACCTCAACTTCCGACTACGATCCCGACGCCGTCCGAATTCCGATCGTCATTTTAAAACCACCATCGTGTTCGTTATCGAGTGAGAAACAAATCTCTTAAGTTAATTGAAGTGAAACGCTGCCAAACGCCGTGAATTTCAAGTCAAAACATCGATATTTTTTTAGCTCAATCGTCGAGAAAATCTTAAATTCATTGCCGATCGTTGCTCCGTTTACGACACCTCCCGCACAATCGTGTTCCTTGTGCCGTTCCGAGTCCGCAGTGTCATCCTCGGTCTCCATCGACGGCGGCGCGTGGGGAGGTGAAGCAGTCAAACTTTTCGATTTGTTGAAAACGAGCTCTCTGCCGTTCAAAAATTTGAACCGATCTTTGTAAGTATCTCGAAATCGCTCAAAATGATTTTTAGAAATTTTTCTGTAAATTTTCCGACGCTTATAGACCCCGCACGCGCCCCCACGCGCCGCCACTGAGCGTGGGGAAGACTAAAATGACCGGTTCAACCGGTTTTGACCCGACCCAACCCGTTGACCTGACCTTACCCGTTGACCAACCGGACCCGTTGACCGGGTGACATTTTGGGAATTAATTTGAAATGGGTGCTATTTTGGGAATTAATTCGAAAAGGGTGCTATTTTGGAAATTTATTCGGAAAAGGTGCTATTTTGGAAATTTAATTCGGAAAGGTGCTATTATGGTAATTATTTTAAAAATGGTGTTATTTCTGTAAAATGATTGACAGTTTGTTGACCACCTTTGACTAGAACTTTGACCGGCTATTAAACAGCCATTAATCTTTTCCGAGAATACTTATACTGACAGTTTTTGACGTCCCGAATCTGTTTTTAGGGTCGGTTTCACAAAAGTCAAACCCGAAAGTCTCCGAATCGTCATTCAAACCCGTTGACTTTGATTTTGATCAAGAATTCAAATTTTCGGAAAGTCATACTTTATGTTTTTCGACGTCCTGAATCTGATTCCGAAGTTTGTTTTGCCAAATTCTGACCCGAAATTCCCGAATCGAGCTTGTAAACCCAAAAGGCTTAATATTTTAATATTTTGATTATTTAATTGAGATTTGGTTAAGGAATTGATTCAATAAAAAAATATTTTATGAAGGTACTCGTGTTTCACCTGAGCAAGGATCAATTAGGTCCGGTGTTGTCCGTTCGTTAGATCAGCCTGAACGCGTGCTACGAGAATTACCCGTAGGTATTCGTATATTATTTAAATAATATTTAGATTATTTATATTAGGTTTCCAATATGGATTTTTCCAATTCGTAGGATCTAGCGCCGCAGCAGAG